GATGTGTTGGAAGCGGGGAGAGAGAGAGAGAGAGAGAGAGAGAGAGAGAGAGAGAAATAGAGAAGCAGATCTTGTATACTTACACAGGACTGCACCGTAATTAAACAATTATATAATGAATAACATGTAAAAATAAATGAATATGTAATATCTGATAATTTGAAGGTAAGAATTGAACTAAATAAAATAAATAATAGAAATAATTCATTACAAATACGAGAAAAACGATTTTCGTTTAATTAACAATTCGTCAACAATCGAGTTTTTATTTATTAAAAAAATAGATCGGGATAGATCTTTTTCAGACAATGGAAATTTTGTGAAAAAAAATAAATAATTAGAAAATTTCGATTTATCTATCTGATTATGATATAATTAACTATTAATTAATGAGAAAGTAGAAAAGGAAGAAATTCATGAAACATTTAACTTTTCATTAAAACAGACAAACTCATGGAAAGAAATTCAAAAGTGACGTCTAAGAATCTTTAAAGAGTGGTCGATGGTCGTCGTTCGTTTTTCCCTTTACCTTTTTTTCTTAGAAAAACCAATTCCGTAGAATCGATAACATTCTTTGCAGCACACTTCAAAGTAATAGAAACTCTCGTGATGCTATTATTTCACTCTTTCCTTTATCTGATCCTGATATTTTTCTATGATGTTCTGTTTGATAACGAAAGGACTAGGTGTAACAATAATTAACTAATAATTCTCCTTCTATCCTTACCGTTACGTTAAAATTAAAGACGATTCAAAACGTGATAAGATTACATAATTGTAATTGTGCAAATGCGAACGATTCGATTTCGAAAAAATCGTTCAATATCGTTTGTTAAAAGATTGATAATTTTGGCGAACAAAGTTGATGATAAGTCCGATTATAATTGTACGCCAAGGATACGTAGAGATACCAATAATTTTTATTTAAAGATTTTCTTGGAAACGATGCATTTCCAAGTATCGTCGTAGAAAATCTTTGATTATCTCGCATCAGGAAACTAACAACATATATGTTCACGATCGTTGGCTGGGTGGCTGGCTTCTATCATAGCAATCTATTTATCGTGTTAATTGGAATCCCATTAACCGGAAGCAATTCGAGTTCGCTCTGCGCGATGTCTTCGTTTAATGGTTGATTCCGAGTAATTGACATAAACTGGTTAATCAATCGTTCGGTTTCCCCTTTCCCTTTTTTTTATTTTCTTTTGACTTATCCTTCAATTTCTGACCTCTCCTCTCTGCTCCCTAATTAGCAAGTTTAATGGCTTGTCGATACGGCAGTTCCTCCGTGAGAATTTTATACGATTTGAGATACCGTGTCAAGGACGGTATCTGAAAAAATTTTTTTTCTTTGCTTTTCTTCTACATTTTGGAAAAGAGTGCGGGAAAGAGATAAAGAAGAAAGGGAAAATCTACTAGCAAAAGTTTGCGCCATACCTTCGTACTTGTGGCAGTATAAGCTGGGACGTGTGTCTACACGTTTCTACGCAATTTCGTCTCAATCTTCGAATTTTTTCTCGAAGTTCCGGACAGTCTCGTGGTTGACCGATGTTTATCAGCAAATCGCGGTATTGCGCCACTTGGCTGTTGATCTCTTGAATTTGCTGCGAAATAAAACGCGCTATTAACCCCGTTTCCCCGATGTTTAACGTTAAAGTAAGCGCACCGATCACAATGCGTAGAACGTGCTTCGATTTAGTCGCAAAGCGGAAATTAAGCTTTCCAGGATCATAAACCGAGCAATTTGTTACGCGACTCACGATTATTACACGATAAACGTAATAAAACGATTTACTGTACGAACTGCTTTATACGAAACCAGTAATACGTGCAATTTATCGTCGTAAAAGGAAAATATATATTATTGGAATAATACAGTTATCATCGAATCTAATCCGGTTAACTGTACGCCGTAAATGTAATAATGAAGATATAACGTTAAATTACCGAAAGAACAGCCTTCTCCGTTTTCTCGCTCTTGTCATCTTGAGTTTGCATTTGAGATTGGCTTCGGCTATGAGTATAGGTCTGAATGTTGCTGACCGACGGTATTGGCGATTCCGTCATTATTGCGCTTTAAGGAGCACCGTTTGATTGCCAATAGCCACGAGGCAATTAACAATATAGTTAAACGATAGTTTGCAAATGCTGCAATGCTTTATGCTACGTGACCATTAAAGGGACACCGAAAATACCAGTTTAATTTACACTTCCAACCATCGATAATTAACACATGCGTTTTGTTTGTTCATTGTTAATTCATGGATACGATTCAATGTGTTATCAGTTACAAGGAATTATCAGTCGCGAATATTATTAACATTTATCAATATTTTGAGATAACGATATTCCTCTGAGCAAGGAAAATTAGTTTTATATCGATATGTAATTTCATCAAGTTTCCCCTTTATTGTTTTTTTTTTTTTT